ATTTCTATCTTTCAGCATGAATTAATCTATTAGGGACAGTAATCACATGTTTGTAAGGGAGAGGCTTTTTGTGTTCACAAGTCAGAGCAGTTGAGTGCCCATTGTGTGCCTGCATGTTGGCACTCATCTGGCTGTCATTTATCTGCCTTACGAATAACACTCTTTGTGAGAAAATAAATAAAAAAGGCACCTCTGCTGTCGCCCCTCTGTGGCTTTGTTGTGAGAGAGCCCTCCCTCTAGTGGAGATGATAGCACTATTTACTGCTCGTGTAAGCCGGAGCTCACAGCTGCGGTGGTCACAGGTGCAAACTGTGGTATCTGCTGGTAAAAGCTGTCCTGAAAACAATGTAGCAATTTCTATTAGTTGCATTAATCTTATGTTGATGAATATTCCTCCATTTTTTTTCAATATGTTATGTTTTCCCCCTTATCTTTCTATCATGTAAATTTAAGTTTTTTTAATCAGAAGGCTATTACGATTTTAAATTGCTAAAGATTTTTTGCCCAAATTAAATGGACAAACCATTTAACATTCAACGAGAAACGAAGTGGACACACTTATTTGCTTTAGTGGGCCACATAATTGATTTGACGGGCCAGATCTCCAGATCTGGACCCTGCGCCCTTTGGTGGGAGTTTGTCATAGTCTGTTAGTCCCCTCAAAGTTACTGCTGCTTAGAGTTGTAAATGTAACTTTTTTTTAAATACAATAATTATCATTAATTACCCGAACGGCAATTTAGTTTTTTAACTGTCCCATGAAAAAAAACCCCACAATTTTATAATTAATTCACCTTAAACTGCACAAATGAATAAAATAAAATGCATCTGATTTGTATTTAATCCGTACCGACCTTTTCACTTATTCAGGCAATACACAAACAATCTCAAACATTTCAATATGACTTTACGCGAATAACGGAACACTGTCGTCATTAACCTGCTGTGACACCTTTTCTGGTGGACCTGACTGGCGCGAGTCGTTTGCCAGTGGAGGAGTTTGTTTTAAGAGCTAAGCGCGCGCCGGAGGCGGAGTTGCCATTGAGGCGCCGGTGTGTGACAGCTGAACGGGGCGTCCAGGATTCACAGAGGCATCATACCACCCAGCGAAACATCCTGCGTGCCACCACGCCTGTACCTCCAGAGGCAGAGAGACCCGACAGACATCACTTCCTTGACATGACGCTTGTCGCCTGGGACAGTGGCATGTCGTAGAAAGGTACTTGTACGTTGATGAGTCGACATTTCTCAGTCTTTTCTCACTTTCAGGATTGTCAGTATTGTCTGTCTTCTCACGCTCTTTACTTTTATCCTCAATTGTTTCATTGATTTCCTTGTCTTTAAACGACGTACCTTTAGCTATTTAGGTAGGCCTGTCTTGTGAGCCCGCTGTCCAGATTGTACACACACACACACACACGCGCGCACGCACGCACTCACACACACACACACACACACACACACACACACACACACACACACACACACACACACACACTTTTATACACATATAAAAATATAAAATTATAGTAATGTATTGTCACTGAGACAGTTCATTATAGAGATCAACTGCAATTTAGTTGTCTGTACTTTTCAGTGGATGTTAAAAAGTAATGAATATTACAACATTTTCACTGCATGTTTTCCATCAGCAGTACACCGGATCAGAATTACCACATTTTTCCTTGTTAAGTGTTAAAATTGCCGCCTGAAGTCATCTTTACTTGAGAGATGTCACATAAGTTGGTGAACTAATTTTGCTCTCATCTTTTAACCCCAGTGCACAGAAGGTTTCAACACAGATAGGTTTGAGTTACATTTTGATTAAAAAAAAAAATCTTACTTTTGATGTCATCCAATTTACTAAATATATCATTTGCAATTTAGTATTCTGCATTTTTCAGTGGAGGTTAGGATGTAATAAAAATAAGTATAACTGCCGGATAGATCCAATATGTATTCCACCAGCAAACCTTAGCAGTACACCTGATTGACCTTGTATTTCTTTATTTTAGATGTTGAGATGTCACATAAATTGTTGAACACTTTGTTCCATGTTTTCTCTGTGTGTCACTTTTTACATAGCAGGCCGCACATACGGAATAAACACCGGTCGAATAGATATACACCCTGACAAAAGAAACACTTATTTTCAGTTTAAGCTTGTAACGATTCCAGCAGATTACATAATCAGCCGCTGTACTTCTCCTGTTACTGCTTTAACTTTTCATGGTGTGTGATCGAGTGCCGGTCTCACGTGGCTCTATTCTTTATTTCTATCAGATCCTTTTCTGTCAAATCAACTGTCACATGCTGTGATTTTTCATAACAGAGCTGATAAGGAGGCGCGATAGCAGCTTTCAGCGGGGCTTTCATAGCTCACATGGTGCGACACATGTCAGGATGTCACTTAAAAGCTTTGGCAAGCCACATGAAAACATGCAGATATGAGATTTGTTTCATGTAGGCAGTCACCAAGGTGAAAGGCAGTATTCAGGTTAGATACCAGGATAATACCGTTGCGCGTTGTATCACGACGATATCACCACTTCTTCTGATTCCCCTCGGGCTCATCCAGGGTTGTTCGACTTAAAACCCAACATAAAACAACAAGCCTTACTGGGAGGCATGGCAGCATCTGCTTTGCGCCCCCTGTTTTATTTCCATCCCAGTCTGTAGTGTGGTGTCTTATTGGGGTCTTACAACTCTGACAGTGTGTTTATTCCTATCCCAGGAATTAGGCTGACAGGTGCTGGATTTGGCAACAGTCTTAATTGGATTGAATTTATTTAGTCATTTGTTTTTTTTTTGTCCCAAAAAAGGGGGAACAGATGCTGTGAAATATGTGCCACTGTGGAGACACTACTGTTGCGCATCAATAGGCCGGCAATGATCAATAGGGATTGCGTGATGTTTTTGCATTGATTATAGAAACGTGAGCCAATGAATGGAACAGGACTCCTCTCCAGGGGGTTACACTGTTCCCGCTCTGCATCCAGCCCAAGCGCTTCATGAAGCCGTTTGCCTTCTCTCTAACCTATCTCTATCTTCAAGGTGTTGCCACCTGTGTTGAGACCAACTTTGCACAACTGGTGGCAGTCACGCTCAGAAGGGCTTTTTGCCGAGTTGCTGCTACCCGTTTTCCCCAAAAGATACCATAAGCTCTGCCCTGACAACATGAGGATACAGTAACACGGCGACACTCGCTGACTGTGAAACGCTATCTGCATTCTCTGCATTCTTACTGAGCTCGATCAACACGGAAACACAGGCGCTTCTAAAGCCGGGGTTAGAGGAGCAGAGCTGGATTTTCCGCTGCTTTAGAAGATGATGGGCCTCCACACCATGAGTTATGACTTGAGATCATCTCTCGCAGGTGTCGAAAGGTCCACAATGCTCTCTCACATGTAACAACCGCAAATGGAGCCAGCGACACAGCTCAATAAATACATTAACTGTCCTCAGTGGTTTGAAAGCTATTACTTTTCCAACTGAAGTGCTGCAAATGCACTCGACTGTGTTGGTGTAGCCTTAGCCTCTATACAGTGTCTTAGTCTACGTCACAGTTTATCATATGCTACACAGCCCTCATTTGGCTTTTAAACTTGCTTAGGGCGGCTTTCTTTTTCCTGTAAATGTCAAGTTCACTGCTAACTAATGTTCTGAACTGTCATTTGAGCTTCTTGAAAGTTCTTTTCAACTGTTTCGACATTTCCATTACAGACTTTGGCCTGCGGTTTTTATTCTATAGAGCAAGGGGCACCAGGTAGCGATGAAGGACCACATGAGTAGCTTGAGGCCCTGTTCCAACAGTCGCAGACTTTGTGATATTCTTGTACAAGGGAACATTTGAAAAGCTAAGTGCTTGTAGAAATGTATTCATTTTAGATTAGATTGATAAGAACAATACCTTGCCCTCATTTTAATAGTTGTGTGGTTAAAAATGAAATTCTGTACAATATAGAATTAGGAGAAACCACAATTTATACTGATTAAAAATAACAGTGGGTTCGCTAGCAAATCACTGTGCTGTGTCGTAGACTTTTTTGGGTACAGTCATGTCACCGTTCACTGTGGTGACTGCTCACCCCAAGAAGCTACCACCTCCAGCAATGCAGCACAGCTTTTGCATTGCATTGACAGATGTCATGGCCAGTAAAGGCAAAAAAAAAAAAACAATAAACAAAGGCACCTGAAGCAGAGAGCCAATGACGTTTACGCGGCACAAGGAAAAGCAAGAACTTCTGAGCCTTTTGCGGCCATGCCAAGATTGATCATTTTTCTTCAAAGGAAACAATTTTTGTAAGCCAGGTGGTATGGAAAGCCAGATTCCACTGTATTTCAGAAGTGTATTATACTGGGAGTCCTTCGCATTAATCAGTGCCCAAAAAGTAACTCGGTTGGTGACCCTGGTTTTGATAAAGTTGCCGCTGTTGTTTTTGAAGGAATAGGCAAAAGCGATAGATTTTCACAAAGCTCCGTGGAGTTATACACTCAATTGGGGAATATGAAATTTGAGCGTGACTCTGGTTGGGGAAAAAAAAAAACCCAAGTGATTCGTCATCATGGTCTTAATTTTCTGAGCGGCCAATGAAAATGCATGCATATGCAGAAGGTAGGGATACATGAAGGTATACCATTTTTTTTTTCTTTTTTAATGTTTGGCTTTGTGCCGTTGATGTTTGTTCTGACACTTCTACCTTGCTCAATCAGGTCGTCATCTTGCCCGGTTATGTTTTTGAAGTTTAATACAGCTTGAAATGTTACTTGTGTCCAATGTCTGTTGTGATGTGATCACTTGTTTTGTGTGTGTTGCGTCCATGCATAGCATGGAGAGAACGTGTGAGCATTTTGGATCCCACCTCCCCAGCGTTGTGCCGGCCCCTCTGTCACTTTAAGTCCTCCCCCTCGGAGCCAGCCAACAGCAGCTGTTCCATATTCATCAAGCCCTTGAGTCTTAAAGAGCCCTATCCCGCCTGTGGAAAGAGTCATTCCTCTCGCTGGCGCTCTCCTGCGCTCTCCATCTCAGTCCTTATCCCGCCACTGCCTGCGCGTCTCTCTTTCTCTCTCTCTCCCCCGCACTCTCTCTCTCTCTCTATTGCTCTCTCTCTCTCTTTTTCTCTGCCCCCTGCCTCCTTCCCTGCCCTCAACACACATGCACTCTCCTACAATCAGAGACGCAGTCTTCTTGCCACACATCTAGACATAAACACTTACACAACACACATGTCCCCTTCCACATGCGCGCAGCCACTCAGTCCATCAGAGTCCAACATACCTGTGCAGGCTGGGGGAAGCGCTGCCGGAGGGGGTTTTCGGCAGCAACGTCTCTGAGGGTGCTCCGCTGTCATTTGTGGGAAGAAGCGGCTCTCAATTGTTTCCTCTTTCCTCTTCCTCTCATTCCTGGAATGCTAAAACTGGACTGATGGACATTTCAGAACTTTGTCTCCCAGACCCTATCAGCTATCATAACCAGTAGGTGCACTCTTTTTTTTTTCCTTCCTTCCTTTCCTTCACTTTTTCATTTTAACACCTCCCTGTGATCTTTATTGCGTTTCGGTTCATCTTATGTTTAAGTTTCACTTTGCTTGTACTTTTCTGTCAATCTCACTTTTTTAGCACCTAAACTTTTCCTGTTTATATATCTCCTTGTATCAATCATGCAGGATGGAGTTTAGTTGACTTTTTTAAATCAAACAACAAGGCAAGAAAAACTCTGCATGTGTGAGCCTGTGTGTGTAGCTTCACCGCTTGAGCACATCTTTTATGGCAGCCTTGACATGTTCAATTCTGAGTGTGGATCACATATTCCGTTTCCTAAGTGAAAGCGTCATAGCTTTTTAATTACTTCAGGGGGTGAGTTTGACTGTGTGTTCATAAATAAATGTGAGAACAATACTTGAGGTTTTGGGATCAGAGTAAATGTATAAAGAAGTGGAGAAGATAAATTGTAGGATTAAATAAACAAAAGAACAGGAACGGTGGCTGGCTTCTCTGTCCCAGCAGCGACACGCAAAACAAGCTGCCACTTCTGCTCAATACTCTGTCTGACCCACCTCATTTGACATCGCTGCACCAATCTCACAATTCGTAAATGTGTAAATTATAGAAGTACTTTTTCTCAAATTTTTATTTTCTTATAAATGTTCAGTACTCAAGCCAAAATGTAAAAAATACATGTACCCACGACCAAGTTTGAATTCTACAATTCCAAATAAACAACAGCAAGATATTGAGAAGCCTTAGAGGTAAATATTTCTTCAAGGGTTGTTCATTTACTCCAAATATACAATAAAATCCAGTCAGACATCGAGACGCATTATTAATTAAATATAATTTGCACTTGATTTCAGAAATAATTGTGCCCTTATTTTAACTGCACGAATAAATGTTTTGAGACACGAGCATTAATTGCTGCCTAATTCAACACATTTTATTTTGTTAATTTGCATATTTAGAAAGAGTGGACATATCTTTATGATCAGTAAAAAGAAAGTTGAAGAGCTGTGGACTTGCTTTTCTTTGATAAAGCCGAAATTTTCTGCACCTTCTTTAACTTATGCCACTATTAAAATTGTGACCGATTATCTTTCTTCCTTTAATGCATTTAAATTTTTCTTGTATTATAAAACCGTCCAAATATTTATAAAATCATCGTGTCTGAAACACAGCAGTCGTAATACTTGAAGGCATGAATATAAGTTTTACAAAACAATAAAAACGGGTATTATTTCAAAGCAGCTTTTCAGACTTCTTATACTTAGTGTGCCTAACTGTGCTCGTTTGTTTAGTGAATCGCGTACGTGTAAATTTTGTGTCTCATCAATTTTCTCTAAAGTGGGAGTAAGAATCCAGTCATTCTATTTGTAGAACATAATTTCCAAGACAAATTCAACATGCCAAACATTAGAAAGAACAACACATTTCATGTTCCGTAGATATTTAAAATAATATTTAGTAAAAGTGTGTTTCAGTTTCGTTCATTTCAACTTTCTTACTCTCCACAGATACTTCAAAACAGACCAAAAGAATAACAGCCTTTTCAAGTACAACTAAGTGGGAACAAATTTACAGATTTTCTTTATATTTCATATTTTTTTTACCCTTCCATCGACTTACATTTTCATAATATGTCACAGAGAAAATCTAAATAATGAACAAGCATAATGTACTGTAGAAATATTGGGAAATATCTCATGTAAATGTATGATTGGATGCACACCCCCACCAATGCACATGGCAAACTAGAGAGAAAAATCATTCTAGCTTTTTCATACCGAAAACACATTTTTTCTCCTGTCTTTTTTTTTTTTTTTTTTTGTGTGTGTGTGTGTATGTGTGTGACGTTTTAAATTGTTTAAGTTAAGAAGCAGCCCCCTTCTCTTCAATGTTAATTTGCGTTTAAATCACACACACACACACACACACACATACACACTTAATGCTGAACGGGACTTGGATGATTGTATGAGAGGATTAGTCAGATGCACAGGATTGATTCTGTGTCGATAACACAGTACCATTATAAAATCACCATAGCATGACTGTAGATAGACCCGTGGACCTCGCCAGTGTCCAAACAGTCAGCAGACAGCAGACTGTAATTTTGAAATAAGAGCACCTTCAATTTATGAACAAGTTGAATGACTGTCTACAAATGTATGTATTTATTCTACGCCGGAGCATTTTTATTTTTCCTGAAGTTGCGACTGAGTCAAGTATTTACTTTCTGCTAATAGCCGAATGTTGCTGGTGGTGCTTTTAGCCAGTCAGCATGTGACTTCTCTGTGGTCTGAAATGTTCCATCAACGCCCTGGCTTTCCTTTTAGCTCAGCATTACCATGGCTTCAAACAGTTAACTGCGCTATCCACCCTTGCCCTTCATGAAATGAGACCTTTTTCATGTATTTTTTCGAGAGAAACAGAAAGAAGTTAGCACACTTTGATGGATTAGATTTAAATTTATTTGACATGATTCCCAGTTTGTGCTGCATTGGAGCCTGCAAACACCCATTCGACAGTCCATCCGATAGATTGTTATTAGGTTTCAGAAAACAAGGAGAGGGAATTACATTAGTGTATCTTAAGTTAAAAGCTCTTTGCTCTTTGACCAAGTGTTTCATTGTTGTTGGGCTAATCAGATTTCTGCTGTCTTCATGGAGATGCTATCGCAGGGTAGAGGCAATGGTGGGTAACCAAAGCAGCCGCGCACAGACACTATCCAGATGGGATCAGTTTACGATAATTTGGTTTCAGAATACATTACAAGACGAGGTTCCTGGCTGAGAATGGCCACCCCGCTAGGCGACGCAAGCCTCTGTAACCCCCCGAAGCTGACCAGCCCGTCTTCTCCCGTGCCGCCTGCATTTAGGTGGCATTGTGGCGTCTGTGATGTCTATAAATTCAGTTTGTCACCCCATTCTAAATACTTCTTCCTTGTACCAACAGGGCTTTGTTGTCCAATTCATTAGAGAGATTCCTGAGTCCACTGGCCACGCTGGAGCCTTCTCATTTCTGGTATCTAGTATCATTACTTTCACTGTAAATGTGTCACTCAGATTGAGATGAAGGTGGGGGTGGGGGGGATTCAGTCTCCAGGCCAAATGGGGATGCAGAGTTTATTAACACTCCATGCCCACTATGCTTTCTTTTTATGTCAGCACAAAATAACCATATATGTTTACACTGAAACAAAATGCTTGATTGAAAACGTAGATTTTCATACTTTTTAGACATTCCTTTCAAATAAACCTCGAATGTTGACCCTTCGCTTGTGATTAGCTATCATGATGTCACCTTTGCTTATGTACCAAAACTATCGAGCATCATCACACGTGCCCCGACTAATTTCTCTCCCGTGGTAACATTGGAGACCTCCGCCGCGGTGCGAGAATCTGTTTAAAAATAACCAGGTCCATTAGTCTAGAAGGATAATGCTAGCCTACGTTGGGCTCTTATGCCCTTGTGGCAGCCGAGTGCTATCACCGACACAGCGTGTCAGCACTTCTTCCTGTTGCTCCAACAGTGAAGGGCTCCTCTTCATTTGCAGACCCAATTTTTGCATGCACACAATCACACACATTGCCCCACATTGCTCATATAAATTTCCCAAAATAATTCAAGGAAAAACTGTGAATTTTAAAATGTGGAAATGTTGGGAGGAAAAAAAAAACCTCAACTTGGTTTGCAAAGTTTCACCGACTACAAAAGGCCCACTCGGTACCACAAAGTGATGTAAGGGGATAACTATATGGGTGTTTATCAGTGAAGGCTATTGGTATTGAGCGTCCCGTTGTTTGAAGGTTATGTTTCTGAGCAGTAATTGAAATGCAAAATAACATTAGGATCGATGGTTAGCTTTGTTTATTTATGAAATCAATATTGAAACCGTCCCTCACAGCAGCAGCTCCCATTCCTACTGACAGCTTCAGCAAGTCTCTGTGTATGCCGGACCAGCCTTGCCCCCACTATAACTTTGACGCAAAGCATTTTTTTTTTTCCCATGATGTTCTTTGGAAAGCTGTGAGCAAACGACCGCCTTGTGTGTGCGTTGGCACAGACTTTCATAGTGTGGCGAAAACATTTCGAGCATCACATCAGGAACTGAACAAAACCAAAAAATGAACAAAAAATGTAAATCATAGCAAAGTTAAATGTGGTGATGTAGTGAAATAGGCCTGTTTCATTTTTTTTTCACAGTTTTGCTTTTTCATTCATAAGTGTGTGGTTGCTGACCCATTTGGATGCCAGTCACAAAATATGCTTGAGTTAAAACACCTCCTTAGGATAGCGCCACGACAGTGCTAAGTGCAATCAAATAGTAACTTTGAGTGGGTGGTTGTTGAACCTGCCCCTCGGAGGCAGAGAACCCCCCCCTCCACCGACACCCCCTTGCCAAGCGTCCGCAAGCACCAGACATGGTACAAGGCTGATATGTATGTTTAGATTGCCCCCTGAAGGAGACACATTAATTCATGAAATATCCCCAAAGTTTAATTATTTCTGAATGGTGTGGTGGCGGACCCGATCATATAAATCAGTAAGGCCCTCCCGCCTTTTTATTACCAGCACTATTTATGGGAAATACGTGGCAGCTGGTGGAGATGAGCTTGTAAAAAGGCCATTGCTATGGCGGTGTCTGCCACAGAGGCAAACATCGTCATAGCATCAATTAATTTACAGTCATTTGAATTTGAAGTCTGACTTGATGCTGGTGTCATTTCTAGACAGTGAGCACCTGCGATAGGCTTCCTAATGGCTACACTGACTATGACCGATACAGATATATACATGTGGAATTATGTTTTTAAAAATTTCTGGACATGTAATCATTTGGTGTACATGAGGCCTGTTTTTGTCTGTTTGTGTTTGGCTTCTCTTTTGATTGGAATTTTTGTTTATGGTGGAGGCAGGGTAGGCTTTTTGTTTCAAGCAGGTAGAGTTGACTCCTAAACAAGAAGAGCCTATCAGAAGAAGATTAATGAAGCAATTTCATGCATGGCGCTATGTCTCCGTCCCCCCTGTACACACACTCACTGTGTCTCAGACCTGCGAGCTACACTGGACTTAAATAGCCTTAAACCTTTTATAATAATATTTCTGTTTGCACCCATGCAAACATATTCAAGGACATCACATGCATCTCTGACCAAACTTTTTTTTTTTCTCTGTGTGTCGCAAACAATTTTTTTGGAAGTGTGGAGTAAAGACATTACATAAATCCATGTATCACAGCCTCTGTCAGTATATCAGTAGCCCGATGCCACTTTTTCGGAGGTGAATGATTGGGCCGAAGTGAAACTGCATAATTTCCTGACATTTTTGGATGAAAAATAGCTCTTATTATTATTATTATTATTATTATTATTATTATTATTATTATTTCAAATACTCGAATTGACTAACTTGCTGCAAATGTGAATTGTGAGTGGATGATGAGACGCTCCACTTATCGCATTATATCACAAAATGCTACGTGTGTGAACAATCCGACGTATCATGAATAGTTCTAAAACAATATTTAATGTACAAAATATTCGACTGTCAAAACCTACCAGCAGTCAAAAAGTAGAACGATAATTACTTTTTTATATTTCATGGGCTATTGTAATTTCATGTTGTCAAATTATACCATGACAATGTCATAGAACAGATGTAATGGGAACTAATCTTTTCAAATGAAAAGACACAATTAGACATTTAATCCCAAATGTACTGCATTGAGGGCTAGACTTATCATGAGTTTCTTTTTTTCCATACAGCATGATGAGCCGTTCAATTCTGCAGGGAAGTCTTCCGCTGGGGTTCTGGAGAAGATTGTACTTTTTTTTTTGCTCCATAAAATCTGAAGTTTAGTCCGTCGCCAGGCCCCGCCTCTTGCATCCCTCCACGGACAATATCTCTCTATCACAAGTCATTTGCTCCCATCAACATCCTGAACTCAACCCCTTATAAGAACCAGATCTGCCCTGTGCGACCCAGACGGTTTACGTCAGACAAAAAGCAGAGCCTATATGCCAGCAGCATCTCCACAACAGGAAGGAGCAAGAGGCGGGGGGAGGCTGGGATCAATAGATGTGATCTACAGTATTTCTTGGTCTGGGCTATCATATGGTGCCGCCGGAGCGCGGGGCTCAAGTTGTCGTAGTGGAGTGAGCTCATTGCTTTATAAAGATGATAGCAGCATTGCTGTGGAGCAGCTAAATATAATCCTGTGCTAGAGATTGAGAGACTTAATTGTCAAGGCCACAGAGAGCATGGTCCCCCTCAATGGGAACCCAGCACTAGCCCCCCAGCCTATGGTCTATTGATCGGGGCCCTCAATCTGCTTTACTACCACAAACACACTAGTCACATATGACTTACTTTTTTTCTCTCTTTTCAAGGAACTTCTTTCTTCTCAACTTTTTTTGTAATTTCTGATGGGAGCGGTCCACTCCCATTCATTACCTACCCCAACAACCCACCCCAAACACACGCACACATGCACTTTTAGGCCGAAGACAGATTGAGGATTGAAAATCTGAAATATAGTCTTTATCGATCGAAATACATCCCCAAGGAGTGCAACCACAGCATACCACGTTACCCCAATGGGATTCCATCGTTCATATTTTGTCTGCCGCAAAAACACACATTTTAATCACCGAGCACAAAAGCCCATTCAAACAACAGTGAAAAGCACTTACCCCAGGACTACATTTCCCCCATATTCCCATGATGGTCATTAATGTGGGACCAGTTAGATAAAAAGGATAGCTTATGTATCAAATGATTGTACATTTGAATCCCAAGGGCTGCTTCAAGTCCTTCTGGGACCCTGGTGCTTCCCCTTGTCTGTTTGCCCTCATGTGGACACACACTCTACAAATCTTAATTTGACTTTTTCTGGCTGGAAGCTTCTCCCTCACCCTCCTTCAGTCATTGCTTTTCCTATGAGTCCCTGGCTGTGTGTTGAAGCGGTAAAAGGTAGCCGTAGCCCTTCGAAGGGAGGTCAGGATGCGCGGATGCCAGTAGGTTTTTGACTCTGCTAGAGAGGCCGAGCAAGGCTCAGAGGAGGTATTTTAGAACCTAATTGAGTTTGTCCTACCTGCGCCTGACTCCAGGACCGGTGGCTTATCAGACCACATTGCCTGGGGCCTTCTAGACAGATCCGCCCCTACTGGGGCATCTGATATCACCATCACCCTGCCTGCAGATGTCAACCCCAACCTCCCCTGCCCATCCCCACTCAGTTTGAGGTAGCAGGCATGTGACACCTTGTGATGAGGTTCGTAAATGGTCTAAAATTGTGTCTTTGGCATCGGGTGGCCTTGCTTGTAAAAACAACCAAAGAAATAACATCAAGGGTTCTTACTCACCATGCGACCCGAGCCTGTAGCGTTGCTTTGTGCGTCGAGTTATAGGCTACAGTGGAGAATGTCAGTTTTCACAGGAATTCTTACAAATTTGCTCATTTAGATCCCAACTGCACTCTAGACAATCTCATCCAAGTTTTGCTTACAGGAAAGAAAGTGTCAAGACATGGAGGAACGAGTGTTCCCTCAGATGTTCAGGAACAGTGAGTATGTGAGAAGTGTTGCCGGTCATTAAGACAGCTAATCCAGGTCACAGCAGTACCAGTGGAATGATATTAGGGATCTGAAATATTGCTAGTAGGACCAGATGGAATCAGATTAAAACAAAGTGAGCACACGTATGCCTCTACTCAGCATGAATTTTGATCCGGACAAAAGGAGAAGGAAGAGAGGAAGGAAAATGAGAAAGGGAGCAGTAAGAGGAGCTGCGCTCCTTTGGGCAGACAGGCAATAGAATATGAAACGCTTGTACTTAGCTTGAGGAAGGAAGTAAAACAGAATAATAGATTTCACAGCATGAAGGTATCTGCAGTAATGTGCGGCACACCTGCTAATTAGCACCTATTCCACATACTGAAATATTAATCCCACCTATTGTGACTGTCAAAATATTTAGTGTTCATAATTCATGGTACAATGGTATTTATTCATAGATTTAAATTAGTACGGTCCCATTTGAGATCCTGCATATTTATATATGTATTTTTTCCACACTGTTTGATTAATACCACAGGTTCAAGATGTTGGTATTCCCTCAGTATCATTAATCAATATATGCAGACTTGTTAAAAACACACGCGTAGCTGTGGAATAATGTGTCATCGCAGAATGAGTTAAGGGAATTCCAGCCAGAACATTTATAATAAATGGCCACATTGAGCTGGAGGCGAAACAGTTAAGACACTTATGCAATTATGCTAAGTGTCACCCTGAAGTTGGCCTTTGAACCGGGGTTAGGCTTACTCTGAATTTGTGAAATAAAAGCTAAATGGAGCCATCTTGTGTGCCCGCGTTTTAATATATAGCCTTTAATAAGCCAAGTGCAGGTGCCCTGCCGCACAGGTGCACATATCCATCTAAAACAGAGAACATAAAGCAAATGAACAGAGCCATGCAATAATTTACGCAGATGCAATCTGCATTCATTATCAAGGGCGGCAAGTTCTATTTAAGAAAGGCATGAAATTGATTCACCTTTCAATTTCTGTCTGCAAGGACGTTTAAGAGTCCAAATGGAATTTTTTTTTTTTTAAGCCGCGAATCTGAATAACACATTGGTATCCCTAATGAAAACAAAACAAAACCATTTTGTTGTATTTAAAATCAATCTAAAACACCATTCTTTTTAAAAATGTATTTTGGATATTCATATGAGGAGGAAAAAAAAGAGTACATGCTGACAGGCTTATTTCTCAAGGTCAATGGTTTTAGCATGGGGGCATTTTTTATTATTTATTTTAGCAGTTAACCTTTTTTTTTTTTGATTTTCCAGAAGTGGTAGGCACCTGGAGCTGCGATGAATATACATGACAGCAGGGAGAGAAACCCGGGAATGAGATTTAATTTGACACACTGACCCCCATCTCCACGGGCCTAGGAAGCCAGGGTGAGAAAATCAGGTTGACCCAATGACCCCTGGGCCTGAACCTCTCTGTCACCCACCCTCGCAATTAAATCATCCTCAGAGAGTGAGAGGCAGTTTGGCCAACTGAATGGCGACATAGCAGAGGCCTCTGGTTTCCTGTCCTCAGCAAGAAGCGCTCAGACTGACAGCTAACTTCCAAGCAGGCAGCTTGGGTCCAGCGGTGTTAATGCTATTCCGGTATGTCAAATATGTAAACATTACTACTTGTTGGCAATATGCTGATGGTGTAATGTGCTAAGGGCCACATTTGACTGCATTGCTGCTCTTCGCGTGTTGCCTGTTTGTCAAATTTCAATAAACCTGGCAACACTTGATTGTGTTAATGTAAGAAAGTTCAGGTGACCTTTTACCCCCTCCATGGTATGCAGTGTAAAGCGATGTGTCTGTTTTCAGACATATAACCTTAACAAGTCACTAAATATTCACATTACACCAATATATTGAGTTATTCCCTTTTATCAGCACACCAATTCAGTTTACTCTATTTGCTAAAAGAAAACAAGAGTTGAGCAAAGTTGTAGCGCTCTTTTTTTTTTCAGTTCACTGCTTCAAGACACAGCAAGGTGCCTATTGTTTCTGTGAGCACAGAATATATTATAGCACATCCAACCGTCCAAAACCCAAATGCTGCACTTCATCCTGGACATGCCACATCATGGACTGCATGTACTCCAAAAAACAGCTAGTAGACAGACCGAGGAGCAGTCAATATGTTGTCATCGTTTTTGCTTTTGGTTCACTGCTGATTCAAGGAGACAATCCAAGGTCCACTCTGCTTTCTTTTCTTTGGAGTATGTGTGTTGAGCAGAGAATTCTCAAAGTGTGGGGCGTGAGATAGTCGATGACTATTGTTGCAAGCCTACAGTTTCCTTGAGCAGTTCTTTAATTTCCGAATTTCTGCCAGATCAAGAAGGTAAGCGATTGTGGTTTGTAATTGGATGAGGGCGTCGAGGGGCGGAGAGAAAGGAAGCAGAGAAAAGTAGAGAGGTCTGGGCTGACGGCTGCGAGGAATTCAGTGCTAGTTTATTGTTTGCATGTGATTACTGCTGACAGTAATCATTTGTTTTGAAATAAAGAATTTGTTTATGGCTCACTGCTCTTCCTGGTTCCTTTTTCAGAGCAGAGGCAGCACTTAGAGGATGAGAGTGAGCCAAGCAGGTTCAGACAGTGGCTACTGCAGCAGCCTTGTGACTCGGAGCCTCATTTGCAATCAGTGAGAAAAAAATATTTCAACTACATAAACTTAGATTTTATTTCCAGCGTAAAAGAGGAAGAACTCACTTGGCACTCTGATTTGTGTCCAAGTGTTGATCAATGAATACATGGAACTGTCGTATCTCAAACGCCTTTTCGGAACCAAGTGCATGGCACTCGAGGACGAACAGACTTTTTTTTTTTTTTTTTTTTTTTGTCGTCTTCATAATGATCGATTTTTTTAGTGCACTGAGAGGGTGAGAGCAGAGCGCAATTGCTCAACTTAGAGGGGACATGGCATGGGGACCCCTGTTTTAGAATGTTGGTACTTTAATATGTCATGACGGTCACTATATTTGTATCTTTGTGCTTCATAGTTCTACTCTATAAAAACACATGCTAATTGACTGTTTGTCTTCTTTCTCCCCTTCCTGTTTCTCACCGCGCCTCTTACAGGCTGCTGAATAGAATGGCCGCTGATGATCGGCACCTACCCTCCAGCTGCGGGTCCTACATTAAAACGGAGCCTTCCAGTCCATCCTCGGTCATCGACACGGTCAGCCACCATAGTCCCAGCGGCAACTCTGATGCTAGCGGTGGCTATGTCAGCACCATGAACAGCCACTCCAACGGCCTGGACTCTCCACCTATGTTCACCCCCGGTGGGCTAGGAGCCGGCGCCTGCCGCAAGCGCTATGACGACTGCTCCAGCACCATCATGGAGGATTCATCCATAAAGTGCGAATACATGTTGAACTCCCTCCCCAAGAGGCTGTGCCTGGTCTGTGGAGATATAGCTTCGGGGTACCACTATGGTGTGGCCTCTTGTGAGGCCTGCAAAGCCTTTTTTAAAAGGACAATACAAGGTATTTTCCTCCTCGTCTTCATGCAACAATACTTCGAACACAGTACAGAGATTTTTTTTCCATCCAAGAAACACATCTCCAAAGCAACTCTGATATTACAACACGGACGTATTTTCAATCTCACATATTCATTGTGTAAAAATACACTAGCCATCACCATCAAGATATTGGATATCTACAGTATTGAAAACACTGATGCACTTTTTTCTAAACATCGGCTGCTGTACATTTTACATATCCTTGTCCAGTCTATAATGTACTGGGTTTGAAGTCACTGATTCACACACACACACACACACACACACACACACACACACACACA